GTATGTTGGTGATCTGGTATTTGGCATGTTGGAGATCTGGTATTTGGTATGCTGAGAGTTCTTATATTTGGTATGTTGGTGATATGGTATTTGGTATGTTGGAGATCTGGTATCTGATATGTTGGAGATCTGGTATGTTGCAGATCTGGTATTTGGTATATTGTCTTGATGTGTAAAAATTTCTGGGGCTTCAAACAAAGAAACAACTGCACTGCACCCTCCGCCTCCCAGATTCAAGCTGTTCTCCTGCCTCAGCCTCCTGAGTTCTGGGACTACAGGTGCACACCTAATTTTTGTATTTTTAGTAGAGGTGAGGTTTTCCTATATTGACCAGGCTGGTCTCGAACTCCTGGCCTCAAGCCATCTGCCCACCACCTCAGCCTCCCAAAGTGCTGGGATTACAGGCATGAGCCACCACACCCAGCTTCAACATTTATAATACAAAAAAATAGTTGTAAAGAAATCACATCCTTTGCCACTGTTTTTATATTATTTTGTGGAGACAGGGTCTCAATCTATCACCCAGGCTGGAATGCAGTGGTATAATCATTGTTCACTGTAACCTCGAACGCCTGGCCTCAAGCAGTCCTCCCACCTTAGCCTCCCAAAGTGCTGGGATTACAGACATGTTCCACTATGCCCAGCCTTTTGCAACAATTTAAACGTGGTGAAAATTTTTCCTTTATCAAATTTTAAAATTTCACTTTCTTTTTTTTTTTTTGAGATGGAGTTTCACTCTTGTCTCTCACGGTGGAGTGCAATGGCGTGATCCCTGCTCACTGCAACCTCTGCCTCCTGGGTTCAAGCGATTCTCCTGCCTTAGCCACCCAAGTAGTTGGGATTACAGGGGTGTGCCACTGCGCCGGCCTGATTTTTAATTTTTAAAAATTTTTAGTAGAGACAGGTTTCGCTCCGTTTGTCAGGCTGGTCTTGAACTCCTGACCTGAGGTGATCCACTCACCTCGGCCTCCCAAAGTGCTGGGATTACAGATGTGAGCTACCTCGCCCGGCCTAAAAACTTCACTTTTAAAAACAAGCTTTATTGAAGGAGTATATAATTTAAAAAAATGTTTATGTTATGCATGAGCTAAGTTATTGAAAGACTACAGTCTTGACAGATGAGCCAGAGGTTGCTTGGCAGAGGAGGAGAAAGACATTCTTTGTAGGACAAAGAGAGGGTTCTGTGGGTAGACTCTTTCATAGAGGGGAGTAATTTGAGATAAGCTGGAAATGTATCCATGCTGGGCAGCAGAGTGATACCCCATCTTTACAAAAAATACAAAAAGGAGCTGGGCATGGTGGCATGTACCTGTAGTCCCAGCTACTTGAGAGGCTGAAGCAGGAGGGATCACCTAAGCCTAGAAGGTGGAGGTTGCAGTGAGCTGAAATGCACTACTGCACTCCAGCCTGGGCAATAGAGTGAGACTATGTCTTTAAAAAAAAAAAAAAAAAAAAAGCTGGAAATGTAAGTTGGGGTCAGACTAACAGGAACTAGGCTGAGGCATTTCTGTTTATTATTAATTTTAATTATGCAAGTTATACATGATTACAATCTCCTTGTAAAAACCAAAGCTTTATGAATAGGCCTAGGATTGTCACTTCCATTTCTGATCTCCAGAGGTGACCTTGGTTTTCAGTTTGGTGTAAGTTTATCTCGCACATGCTGTAGGTCTCTATGTGATGGAACATCGAAGCTGAGAAGTTTCAGCTTCGTTACAGGGTCATCAGCAACTGGGGGGCTGGGCTGGAGCTGAGAATTTCTACAAGACTTACTATTCCTTTGTGTTTTGCAACTGCAGTTTGCTCACTTAGATAATAAGAGCTGTGATTTGGGAGTGAGGGAAGGAGTGGGGTGATTTTGGCGCAGGGCCTGTGACGCTCTATTGTCAGCAGCTGTCATTAAGCACTGAGCACTGTGCCACTGGAAGGCAGAAGGGAAGGTACAGAAAAGGTAACGGGAGGACATGAAATCCCATCTTATTTGCGTATAGATAGGCCTGGCTGGGTAGAAAAGTGCTCTCTACAAACAGGTGGCCCTCTTAGTTTCTTTTGTGTCCCTTTTTTTTTTTTTTTTTTTTGAGACAATGTTGCTCTGTTGCCTGGGCTGGAGTGCAGTGCTGCAATCTTGGCTCACTACAACCTCCAACCCCTGTGCTCAAGTGATTCTCCTACCTCAGCCTCCTAAGTAGCTGAGACCACACACATACACCACCAGGCACAGCTAATTTTTGGTATTTTTAGTAGAGATGAGGTTTTTCCATGTTGCCCAGTTTGGTCTTGAACTCCTGGGCTCAAGCGATCTACCCGCCTCAGCCTCCCAAACTGCTGGAATTACAGGTGTGAGCCACTACACCTGTCCATGTCCCCAATTTTGAATGAGATGAGGGCATGGAAAATTAATAACCATTCAAATGTGATGAGCAAAAGCAACTGATACTTGGCCTCACTGCTGGGGACAATGCAGAGTAGTGTGGACAGTGGCAAAATGGATAGCCCAAGGTCTTTCTTTTTTTATTTTTTTTGAGACGGAGTCTTGCTCTGTTACCCAGGCTGGAGTGTAGTGGCATGATCTCTGCTCACCACAACCTCCGTCTCCTGGGTTGAAGCGATTCTCCTGCCTCAGCCTCCAGAGTAGCTGGGATTACAGGCGCATACCACCACACCCAGCTAATTTTTTGTATTTTTAGTAGAGATGCGGTTTTACCATGTTGGCCAGGCTGGTCTCAAACTCCTGACTTCGTGAACCGCCTGCCTTGGCCTTCCAAAGTGTTGGGATTACAGGCGTGAGCCACTGTGCCTGGCCAGCTCAAAGTTTTTCTATAGGGCAGTCATTATTCAGCCCTGTCAGCTGTGGTCCTGGGCCATACGCATCAATGTTAGCCATATTGTCTGATTTTTCAAGAGACCGTAAAATTGGATTTTTTTTGCTTTGTTGCCCAGGCTGGAGTGCAGTAGTGCAATCTCAGCTCACAGCAACCTCTACCCCCCAGGTTCAAGCGATTCTCCTGCCTCAGCCTCCCCAGTAACTGGGATTACAGGCACCCACCACCACGCCTGGCTAATTCTTGTCCTTTTAGTAGAGATGGGGTTTCCCCATGTTGCCTAGGCTGGTCTTGAACTCCTGACCTCAGGTGATCCACCTGCCTTGGCCTCCCAAAGTGCTGGGATTACAGGCATGAGCCACCGCACCCAGCCTCAGCTCAAACATTTCTTAAACACTGTGTTGGCCAAATAAGGCATGTACCTGTGGGCTGCTATTTTGCTTTCTCTGTTTCATTTTCTCACCTTTGCATATAATCCCCTGATTGCCACTGGCTCTATGATCTACATGGCTGTGGAGGATCCTGGCCTCCTTAGGTAGATGCTGTGAGAATGGTTGACTTTACTCCCCATGTCTAGTTTATACCCATATTCTGATATCCAGCTAGTAATAGAGCTCTGCCACGAAGCGGGGGCCTAGCAGAAAGTTCCAGTAGCATCCCAGGGAACTCAGCCAATCTAGATTCACTAGACGCCAAGACCCCTCCAGGGAGTTGGTCCTGAAGCCTCCAGAGTCCTTCTCTCAGGCATCAGGGTGGGTTCTTACGCCTCTCCCAGGACAGAGCCCAGTGGGAACACAGGCTGGTGACTGTTTCTCAAAGGGCTTTGTCCTGTGACTGAAGCCAAGCAAGAGTGTCCGACACATGAAAACGCGCACACACACACACACACACACACACACACACCCTGCCCCACACACTTCCCAGACCTTTTCCCACGCAGTCCCAGGGCGGCCAGAAGGGCAGCTGGTCGTGGGAATGAACCGCAGCCTCCTCCCCCAGCGGCGGCTCCACCCTGCTCCATCTACTCCTGGCCCTGCCGTCCCACCCCCAACCCCCGTATTACTTCCAGAGAAGGAAGTAGCTGAACAATGCGGCACATCAGAGAATGGGCACAGATCCCAGAGCCGATGCCAGGGGCAGGTCCTTGGCAGGCTGTGGGCTCTGACCCCTGGCTTCCCCGCTCCTACGCATGCGGCTTCCTCAAGGTGGCTTCCTAGACCTTCTCTCCATTCCTGGAAGCTCGGCATGGCGGCCACTCTTCTGCCTCTCCAAGACTTGGCCTCTTCCCCGTTGTATGGTGGCCAGCATGTAACCTACTTCCTTCTGCCCTTCCTCACCCACACTCCCACATTCCATTTGGGTAGAGTTCCCAGTCTGAGGGCTGAAGCCAGGCTTTGATGGGGATTTTGGCCAGTGGGGGCAGGTGGGAAGAGAGGGTAATTTTTTTCTAAAGTTCTCCAGAGGTCAAGCAAGGCAAGTTGTGAGAACAGAGACGGGCTGTGGCGCAAGGGCGCCAGGGCCCCAGGGCCCCTAGGTTTCATTCTCCCTTCTGGATGGGGCCGTCTCTGCCTTGGCAGATGGGTGGAAGTGCTCACAGGCCAGAGGAACAGAAAAAAATCACTAGTCGAGGCCGGGAGTGGTGTCTCACGCCTGTAATCCAAGCACTTTGGAGGCCAAGGTGGGTGGATCATCTGAAGTCAGGAGTTCAAGACCAGCCTGATCAACGTGGTGAAACTTCCTCTTTAAAAAAAAAAAAAAAAAAAAAAAGAAAGAGAAAAAAAATCACTAGTCATGCCCAGCTTCCTGGAGCTGGGAAGTTGGTGGGAACCACTACTTTTGTTTTTCCTGCTGGTCTAAAATAATGTTTTGCCTGGGACCGGAACCCTACACCCCAGGCAGGAATACCCTCTCTCACTCCCAGTTCTAGTGCTTTAAAGTGCTTCACCTTCCGCCAGGCGCTTCCTGCCCTGTGAGCCAAGGGGCAGGGCTCCTCACAAGTCTTTTGCTGCCTCTAGAAGCTAGTTCCTCTCCCCACCCCCAATCATGGATCCTGACTCAAGGGTTGATAGCGGGATCCAAGCTAGACCCTGTGAGGTGGTTTAACTGACCACTTGGAAACCTAAAAAGTTTTTTTTTTTTTTTTTTTTTTTTTTTTTTTTTTTTTTTTTTTTTGAGATGGAGTCTTGCTCTGTCTCCCAGACAGAGAGGGAGGCTGGAGTGCAATGGCATGGTCTTGGCTTACTGCAACCTCTGCCTCCCGGGTTCAAGCAATTCTCCTGCCTCAGCCTCCCAAATATCTGGGATTACAGGCACCTGCCACTGCACCCAGCTAATTTGTATTTTTAGTAGAGACGGGGTTTCACCATGTTGGCGAGACTGGTCTCAAACTCCTGACCTCATGATTTGCCCACCTCAGCCTCCCAACGTGCTGGGATTACAGGCGTGAGCCACCACGCTGGGCCCGGAAACCTAAAAAAGTCTTTATCATGGAAAAGAACCCTAAAAGCCTACTCCCAACCTCCAATTTTAGCTGAGAAACAGAGGTACAAAGAGCACATGTGCCTTGCCCAGGATCAGCAGCCAGGAGAAGGCGGGGAACTGGGACTCCCAGATTTTCGGACTCTGGTGATATCCTTCAGGAACACAGTGCAATGTTGAACAGCGGCTTTGGGAGGGAGCAGAAGAAAAATGCCAGCCTCTTGATATCCTGATCTTGCTGGGGCCTTGCCGAACCTTTATTTTTAATCTCCTTTTTCAGGACTTTGGGCTCTATTTTCACCTTGAAAAAGTGGCATTTGAATTGTCTTTGTTCTCAGCAGAGAGAGCTGACACCCATTCTTCACTTGATCTTAGCCAAAAGTCTGGGAAGCGACACTGACACCCATTCCTCTAAGTGCCTCCTGCACTCACAGGCTGAGCGGCCCACTTCTGCAGTGACGCTGCTGTCTTCTCGTGCTTCTACCTTATATGTAAGTGACACCTCTCCAACTCTACTGTAAGCTTTCATGCTTTAAATTTCTTCACTGAATTTTACCATACACAGAAGTATTCACTGAGCACCTAACACAGACCAGGCTCTTCACTTCACACCCACATGGAGCTTTCAGTCTTATGCAAGTGTCACACAGGGGACACGGGAGCAGCAGAACAATGCATTACAGGTATGGTCGTTGCCAGGAGGGAATGCACAGGGACAGGGATGCTGCCAAGGGCTCTCTGAGGATGGGGAGCCAGCTCCGCCTCAGGAGGATCTCAGGGAGGGTGGTCCAAGTCAGGGAATATTAAGAGGCTGGTCCTGTTTTGAGACCCTGAGAAGAAGCCAGGGTTGCTCCAAAGAGAAGAGCATGGGCTGGGGCTGGAGGGGCAGGTCTTAGCTCCTGCAGGGCTTTAGTTCTGTTTGTTTGTTTTAGTTTATTTTTAGAGACAGCGTCTCACTTTGCTGCCCAGAGGTCTCACTCTGCTAGAGAACAGTGGTGCAGTCATACATAGCTCAACTGCAGCCTCAAATTCCCAGGCTTAAGGGATCCTCCCACCTCAGCCTCCCAAAAGTAGCTGGGACTACAGGTGTGTACCACCATGCCTGGCTAATTATTAACTTCTTTTGTAGAGACAGGGTCTCCCTATGTTGCCCGGGCTGCTCTCAAATTCCTGGGCTCAAATGATCCTACCTCAGCCTCCTGAATAGCTAGGACTACGTAGATGTATGCACAACAACACTCAGCCAATTATTATATTTTCCTTGAGACAGAGCCTTACTTCATTGCCCAGGCTGGAATGTAGTGGTGTGATTGCAGCTCACTGCAACCTCCACCTCCTGAGTTCAAAAGATTCTCCTGCCTCAGTCTCCTGAGTAGCAGGGACCACAGGTGTACACCACCACACCTGGCTAATTTTTGTATTTTTAGTAGAGATGGAGGTCTGAAACTCCTGGCCTCAAGTGATCTACCCACCTCAGCCTCCCAAACTGCTAGGATTATAGGCATGAGCCATTGTGCCTGGTCTAATTTTATTTTTTGTAGAGATGAGGTCTCACTATGTTGCCCAGGCTAGTCTTGAACTCCTGGGCCCAAGTGATCCTCCTGCCTTGGCCTCCCAAAGTGTTAGGATTGCAGAAGTAAGTCTCTGAGCCGAGCTCACGTTTTTTAATACATTTTTATTACATTTACATATATGGTTTTACTCATATGCAAACTTAGCGTGTGCACGCATACACACACAGGCGCACACACATATATATATATATATATATATATATATATATAT